GTCCAACAAAAGATGAAAATGACCCCATTTTCGGACCGTGGCAACGTATGGTAAAAATATATAAACAGTAGGAAGTGTAAAAATTAGATATATGCAATAGGAATTGTACAAAATCAGATACAGACAACAAGAAATATATAAAAAAATTAAATACAGATAGAAGAAAATATAAAAAACAAAATTGATGATTAAATGAATAGGATGATTATAATGTGGAGATAATGGAGTCTTTCAGATGAGTCTGGACCGCGAGTCTTTCAGATGAGTCGGGACCGCGAGTCTTTCAGATGAGTCGGGACCGCCAGTCTTTCAGATGAATACGGGAAGTGGTTGTAACGGGGAATGGGTAACTCGCAAGGCAGTGAGTGGTACACTAGGATCGCTCGACACTTATACGCACCATTCAGTCATAAGGACACCAGTAATATAGTATAGCCGGATATTTATTACAACTACAATCGTCGCCATACGCCCCCGGTCCTCTTGTCACATAATACGCTAGAACCCCCCATTTTTATAAACGACAGTGTTAATCGTTCAACCAATAGTCTAAATACTTTGTATGCGTTGTCATGACGGCATGTGGACTCCGCCAGTGAAGGCGTCGCCCCAAGCATCGTCATGACAACATCAATGCAACTTGGTGACAGTAGCATGGCGGATGTTCCACGCACCTTCCTCTAATTTACATGTAGCATTGCACACTTTACACGTAAAATTGCCGATTTTGCACGTGAGAAGACGAACGTGTCACGTAACTTTACTGACTTTGCAAAAAACTTTTCGGACTTTTTAGCATTACACGCATTGCACGCTACTAATTAAGGGCACTAATAATTTATGCTATACTCAAAAGCTACTAAATGTACAATATGAGTGGAATATATCATAATGCGGAAGGGAGAGTTAATATGATCAATATTTACAGCAGCAAACGGGGGGGGGGGGGGTCGTCACCCGCGCACACGATAACAACGCAGTCTCATGGGTAGACGCTTGTTTTGTAAACAGCGACACGCTATGGTCATCTGACGCATGTGCAGGTGACATAAAAAAAGACATAAAAATATAAAAACTTAGATTTCTGAGGATTATTTTTTTCACTTGCTTGCAAGTGTCTTAATATACAACATCGGTATACAGCGTACATGCTAGGATTTTAGTTTTTGTGATGGCCGTTACAAATTGGCATTAATGACGCACGAAATGTTTTTTCAAAATTAAAATCAGAGGAAAAAGTTCAATAGTTACAGCTACTGCCGCTGAAAATATAACAATTTAGACTGAGGATTATTTCATTGTTAGTTGACAAAAGAAAACAGGATTTTTGTATTAGGGGAAGGTGAAAATAACATGTACGCATGTATTGTGACACAAGTTATTGACACATCCAAGATGACGAAAACTACTTTTGTCCTTGGAACGTTGTTCCAGTGCCCAGTTGAGGTTTCAACTTTGAGTGAGTGAGCATAGAGCAGTTCTGAGTAATACTAGTAGATTGTCAAAACTATCTCCCACGTGTCTGGATTTCAATTTACTAGAGAATACACTATTAAAGTTTAAAGGAATTATTATCTTTTAGGCCAGTTACGTCTGCTCTATTTGATGTTTTGTTTGTGTTGTTTTTTTCAGAATCTCAAGTTCAAGTTAGCCATGTAATCCTAAGCATAATACACACACTATTTGTAGAATAAGAACTAATTTAGGGTCACCTAAAAATTAAAAGAATTTAGTTTTTTTATCAATATGAGCAGTGTCGTCGCTAGGCAAGGTACGCTTATTCGGCCATAGCCTCGCGCATGGTACTATGTTTAGTACACTGACTCGGAGTTCACAAAACTGCGCGAATCGGACGATGTATAATCGGTAGCGTGGTGTACTTTAAAGTGCCTGTGAAATAAATGCCCACCCATACGTTTCCAATTTTAGATTTGTGTTCCTCTGAAATGGACAGTTATTCGTCCCCGTTCAGACGAAGTCCGAAAACAGGGACTTATAATTCGGTCTTCGTCCGTTCGTGCGTCTGTGCGTCCGCGCGTCCGTCCGGAGTTATATCTCAGAATCCCTTGAACCGATTCCGTTAATTCTTTGCACGTGCCTAGTATTTTATTTGGGACATATGCACATGCAGTGGTTTAGCGATTCGATTCAAATTGGACATGCTTTGTCAGCGTTGTTATTTAAATTTAGTACATAGATCATACATGTCCCCGACCGTCCGTGAGTTCCTGAGTCTGTCCGTTCGTCCGTCCGTCCGTCCGTGTGTCCGTCAGTCTGTCCAGAGTCATATTTCAGAATCCTTTGGACCGATTCCGTTCATTCTTTGCATGTGCCTAGTACCTTATTTGGGACATATGCACATGCAGTGGTTTAGCGATTCGATTCAAAATGGCCGACTGGCAGCCATCTTGTTTTTTGAAAATGTTGTATTTTGGACATGCTTTGTCAGTTGTCATTCAAACTTGGTACATAGATTATACATGTTAGTATACATGTCCATGACGATTTATTTCGCAATTGGATCAAGGATGGTCGACTGGCAGGCATCTTGTTTTTTATGCGGTATCTTGGACGTGCTCTGGCAGTTTTCATTCAAATTTGGCACATACATGTACTTTATACATGTTAGGATGCATGTCCATGACAATTTGTTTCAAAATCTGGTCAAGGATGGCCGATTGACAGCCATCTGAATCTGACATTTTGGTCTTACTACTATATTTCCACAATTTATGTACCATTTTCATTGATTTCGTATTTGGCACATACACCATACATATCAGTGTGTTTCATAATCAAATAATCAAAGATGGCCGAATAACAGCTGTTTTTATTTGTGGCCGTATTACTACTACACGAAACACGTGTTTTGAAGTAAATAAACAATCTGTTGTATACGCCACTTGGAACTCAAGTTTCAAGGCCACGCTCGCGACAACCCCTCCGCTTTAATATGACGAGCACAAAGAGAACTTTCAAAAATTTAATGGGGACTGTGTCATTTTCAATGACTTGATTTTTTTTTATTGAAAATGATCACTCGTATGAAAGTAAATTTTGGATATTTCTCGTGCTGTAGACACGCCTACCTATTCTGAAACGGTCGACTGTTTCCGGATTTCCGACTCTCGCCGAATTTAATGTGCGCCCCAAATGCCAAAATATGTGAGGAAGCCATACTTTTTATAGCACTGCGTCATTCAACGTACTTTTAACGATATACATTTTTCGGTCGGCATTTTTTATCTATCTATATATATGTGTTTTTTTTTGAGAGAGAGAGTTTTGTAGAAGTTGTTTTCACAACAAACATTTATGATGGTAAAACGTTGAACGTAGTTTAAAATTAGTTTATGATGGTAAAACGTTGTGTTGTGGGCGGGTGCAGTAATACGCATGGCCATATTGTAACTGCGACATCAGTAGACGAACGCCGTGAAAGCAACGAGAAAACGTTTGGGATAGACCTCAGCTTCATTTTACCTCCGATTCTCAGATGTTTTGACGAACAACTGTCCTCATTATGAAAGAACAAAAAGAAGCGTCAAAAACCTAAACCTGACGCAATACCAACACTTTTTAAAAAACAAGATTCCATTTTCTTACTTTAAAATATATTCTATACTTAGAACAAGACACTTCGTGATGGGCGCCTTTTGCGGTCAGTAATAATTACGAAAATATTTGTTCACAATTTTATAAACTGGCTTGTCGATTCCCACCACCAATTAGATTTGTTTAACAAATCCAAAATCACTCTTAAAAATTAATTTTGTTTATTTTGCAATTGAAATTTTGATAATTTTAATAGGTGTATATACTCACACACTCACAAAAATATTATTAATTAAATTTATTATATAACCTTTATTTTTTCCTGGTATAATGATAAATTTTCCGATCTGCGTAACTTCATGTGGAAATCCTAATAAATGATTAGCGGTTTTGCAATATTAGGGGTTGTCAACTTGCCCATGGTTACTGTCTGATTTTCTAAAAATATCTATCTTCGGGGTCTACTTGGATCTAAACGACCTGCGTCCTTGAAAATCGAATCTTATCGCCCTTGTGTTTCCGAACGAAAAACCGTCGATGCCAAAAACGACCGATTTTCGCTCAATCTTCTATGATATTTTGATATATATCATTCATTCAGTCTAGCTGTTAGATAGGTTATTTATGAGACCCGGGAACCAAAATTTACGATGTAAATCACTCCGGCGACGAAAAACGGGCGATAATAGCCAAGAGGGCGAGGGACTGAATTTCAAAAACATATTTTATAGATAGGGTATATGAACATAAAAAAGAATAATACTGATGTACCAATAAATGATTTTAGGCGAGAAAGTAGCAGGCATTTCACGGGCACTTTAAACGTGGTGGTCGTCGCGCCGCGTCCCGTTTGATATGCGGGACTCAAAGCGACGCACGCAATGCGTGTAAAATACGCTGTTTATTTACATGAAATTCAAACACGCGCTGCGCGACGATCACCGCCCTTTAAGACCCTGGACTTACAATCTCAGACGAAATCATGTAGAGAGGGGGAGGGTTATTTTCGTTCAACGTAATTGCAATATTTTTTTTTTCGTAGAACGTAAATTGAAAAAAATAAATTCCGTAATTCTGTAATCACAGGCTAGACGTACAACGTAATCAATCAAATATTTTTTTTTTGTACACTGTAAAAATGTGTAATTTGTCTCGGTACGTACAAGAATTTACATCCAAATAAAAAAAAAACTCTTGTAAAGAATAATCCAGGAAAATTACATTTTCGAAACTGTAAAACGACTAGATGACACAATTCAATGTAAAATTCAATTTTCACTGTAAACTGTAAAACCATTTTTTTCTCTTGTAAATTGACAAAGCCCTTGTTATTTCCCGTAAAACTGTACCAGCTACCCCCTTGTCCCTCTCATGTACGTTTTATCAGGGGTTCGATTCTTTCAGCAAATCCGGTACATTTATGCTCAGAGAACTACAAAGTTCTGCCGTAGAGGGCCTCTTGCAAAGGCCATGCTCCTACGAAATCAGAAGGTCAAATTTATTATAATTCATGATGCCTATGTGTAACCGATGGTTTATTTTCACAGCATTTGTGGCGATCATTGTGGCGATTTTACTCATTATAGCGGCATATTCGTCAGCGCAGAGGAGGGCAACAATTGTGAAACTACAGTTGGTCATCATCGCTGAAAGCCTCTTATTTCTAGGAGCTAACTTTGTCTGGAAACAGTTAGTGGATGTACTTGATCCAACAAAATCGAAATCTAATGGATCGATCTGTGATTTTATATTCTTGTTGTGGCGTGCAGTTGTCTTTCTGTTTCTCGTATTAGCTCAATGCAGTATAATATTAGGTGAATTTATTATTGGAAACGAGCCGTATTGGCTAGTCTTCTTGAGTTACGTCTGTTTAGGAACATTTGTAATTCTGATAAGTGTGTTGATGCCTGTGTTAACAATCGAATTCTGCATAAATGGAGTACTTGGATCAGGGCGCCCGCTACGTCAAGTTAATCAATTCATGAAAGTCACGGGAGTGATATTAATAACTATATTGCTGACATACAGTGGTGTAGAAACAGCAGCTGAAGGCCCTTGGCAGAAAGAAGTAGACATCCATGTTAACAAACTACCTCAGTCAATGGATGGTTTCAAGGTGGCCCAGTTATCAGATATCCATCTCGGCCCTACAGTGGGCCAATCACAGTTGAGAAAAGCAGTAGATATAGCGAATGATTTTAACCCAGGTGACAGTGAAAAATAAATTACATGATTTTTATAAAATATTATTAAATCTGCAAATAAATTATTTCTCAACGTCCGACCGTTTTCGTAACTTTAAATATCAACTGAATCAATACAAAAATTTAATAATTTACAAAGCGGGAATCCCACTTTAAGACAACACTCCAAGTTTATGAGGTGGATTGAGAGAAGATTTCACAAGTATGAATACATAAAAAAACTAAATGAATGAATTTATACATAATAAAATCAACTTTATTTGAATTTTACTGCCTCTCTGGTAGATTTGGTGGTAATCACTGGTGATCTTGTTGATTCGAACGTAGACAGCCTCAAAACCGTCATCGAACCTATCAAATACCTGAAATCTAAACATGGGATCTACTTTGTTACTGGTAAGCACATATAGTCTAAACATGGTGTATATTTTGTGACTGGTAAGTAACTACAATATAAACATGACGTCCATTTTGTGATTCGTAAGACCCCACAATCTAAACATGGCGTATATTTTGTGACTGATAAGTCCCTATAATCTAAACATGGCGAACATACAAACAGAAAGATAACATTTCATTTGGCACTGAATTATTTATAGAATGTATTATCTATGATAAAAATACAATGTCTAACACAGCATCAACGCAACATAAAAATATTTTAGAGTTAGTTATAAAACTTGGTTCCAAACTTATTTGTCGAATCTCGTATCGCCTGTAATTTCGGTCACTTACAATCATGGTGAACATTATTGTCCCCGAGGAAGTTTGTAACTAGGCAGATTGTTTTGACCACAAATAGTCTTTATTTGTGTACAGATTCATATTTTACACTTATGTTTGTGACGTTGGAGATTCGAATTACGCATTCCCAACTACTGTCATTATAAGAGTACACTCACCAAACTCTATTTCAAGCTCTCTTTTTGGAGCATTCCGACATGAGTGCTTCTGCTTACAGTGACGAGGCGCATTTACTGAGTTTGAATCTCAAGTTTCATGTCTATATGTTTGATTATGTGCATGTAATTTCGATTTTAATAGGAAACATAATTTTGACAATAAGACTCAAATATAGTATTTCGAGATTCGAAATACTCAAAGGGTCTCATTGTCGCCCCGTCATGGGATTTGTTTCAGTGGCAATGATTTCAGTGACCCATTTTTGTCGTGATATTTACTGATCAATATCTCATTTATCAATAATTATTATTTTGTTCATATTGCCATAATTTTGTGAACTTCGTGTAAACAAATAATTTGACAGTTTCACACGTGTTGTATACGCTGCATAGGACCAATGCTAAAGACACCACTGCTCGTATCGTCGACTGTGGAGCTTTACTATATTTCGCAATATCAGTGATTTATAAGTAAACCACTTTTTAGCTCCGCTGTCGACTTTGTCAAGCGGAGCTTATCATATGAGTTATTGTCCGTCGTCGTCCATCTTTGTAACTTTGGCAGACCTCTCTTAGATTTGTTCTCTAATTTTGATAAATATTTTTGTCATTTTGGTAAAAAGTTATATTTTTGACTTCTTGTGAAAAAGTCCGATTGCCTTAATATTATATTTATATAGGTACTAGAGGTGAACCTCTCTCAGATTTGTTCATTTCGCGATGATATCTTCAATTCTCTAATTTGATGAATATATTTGTCATTTTTTTTCAAAAAGTTATATTTTCGACTTTTTGTTGAAAATCGCAAGTCTGTTTGCTTTAGTATTATACATATAGGTACTTCAGGTGGACCTCTCTCAGATTTCGTGATGATATCCTCAATTCGCTAATTTTGATGAATATTTTTGTCATTTTTGGTAAACAGTGATATTTTCGACTTCTTGTTGAAAATTGCAAGTCCATGCGATTGATTTTATTTTATACATATAGGTAGTAGTGCATGTGGACTTCTCTCTGAATTGTTCATTTTCTAGTGATATCTTCAATTCTTTAATGGAAATGTGCTTTATACTCAGCCGAGAATTGCTTGTATTTCCATAAACATGATGTATTTCAGGTAACCATGAATACCATACTGGTGATGTGGATAATTGGTTTGTTCACTTAAAATCACTGGGTATCAGTCCGCTTCATAATGACAGGGTGGAAATACACAACCAAGACAATCCAGACGACTGGTTCTACCTGGCTGGCATTGATGATAAATTTGCAAATGATATAAAGTAAGAATACTACTACAAACACTACGATAACGACTTTCCGTTTTCGACATTGTGAAATTCTTTCGTTTTTTGGGAGAACAAAAAAAAACCAAAAAACTAATTTTGACCGAAATTTATATTTGGAAAAAATAATACCAAAATGTATTCCCTATGCACCCATAAATAGTTTTCATGATTATCGATTACACAAGAATAATACAGAAATTATAAAAATTGCTATATTCTCTATATTTTGCCTTATATTTGTCTTGAATTGTGACTGAAAGCAGCTGAATCAAATTACAAACTATGTAGTGTGTTCAACGACTCATGTTTGAACTGCAACAATAACTAATAAATATGATTTTACTTGGTAAAAATACTTTATTTTTCTGCATAAAAACGAAAAAATTTCACAATGTCGAAAACGCAATATATTTACCACACTGTTCTACAATTTGACATTGTAACAAATGTTATTGTCAGTCAACATGATTAGATCAAGTACAAATCATTTCATGAACCTCATGCGTCTGACGTCATTTCTCGTTCTCACTGTCGCCATGTTTGATTTTTCCGTGTCGCAAAAATGGTCATTTGGAGGTGAAAATTTAAATTATTATTTCAGTACTGTTTATTACAATTTTTTCTCCATTTCTTAACACTACAGTACACTAATAGTAGTAGGTTAACTTGAATACCTCAAAAAAGACGATGATATAATTATTTGAACATTGACTGTTTAACTGATTATGTTCGATACAAACATTTACCCAGCACAAATGTTATCATCGATTTGGAGGGTATAACCGGGACGATAAGCGGATATAAGTCCTCCCTAGGTAAAAATAGCATATTTGGCGGAAGGCTTTTCTCCGCGCAGATTTTTGTTCGAATCTACCGTCCCCTCCTATTGTTTTTAACGGCAAACTCTTAAATATTCACTAAAAGTTCTAAGATAAAAGTCCCTATATTGTGATTATTTGCATAAAATAAACAATAAATAAACAATTGCCCCATACAAACTTGCATTATTTATGTCAACGATCATTTATTCAAGGTACACTGGTCATGGCATGGATTTAGATAAAACGTTGGAAAATACAGATTATAACCATGCTATCATTCTACTGGCTCACCAACCAAAAGCAGCGTATACAGCACTAGAATCGCAGTATGATGTCAGTCTAGTTCTATCAGGTATAATTTAAAATAGGTAATCAAATAACTGTTTGGTTGATGTGAAGAATGATGGTTTATGTGAGTGCATACACATATAATAATATTTGATGAATATGCCAATGAATTTATATAAGAAATTGTGTCATTAAATATATGAATTCGTCGTCTCGAATATATTAAATATCAATCAGAAACTAAATTAGTCACTGTTTATAAATAGTCACACGACTATCATGATTTATATTTCAGTCAGTTTGACAGTGGTTGTCATGACATATACTGATAAAGGTTAATGACAAGACCAGATGGCGAGCTGGTCGAAATCAACCAAAAACATCTTATGACTCTGCAGTTTTTAAGATACAAGACAGTAGCTGTAATTCTAAACCAATGTTGTTTGCGAGTTTAAAAAAGGTAGTATCTTGGTGGAATGTTAGTGCGAGATTATTACCCCATCAATATTAGTTAGTGTTGACAATGTATAGAAATGTTTTCTCTAGACAGCTTGACGAGTAATTAATTGATTATGATGTGTAAAACTTTCATGTGATTGGTTGTTTGTTGGAAGGCAAGGCCTTGGAGTCTCTTATACTGATTGTAATTGGTTAAGGGGTGACAAGAAAAAAAGATGGATTTAATGCTGTCTCGGGTGAAAACCAGGGACTTGGCAGGGAATCGTTTTGGGAACATGAACGAAGCTTGTGTGTGTCTTTTGTCAGCCTAGCGTGGAAACGACCGAATCCCGGTTACCTAAGTGAAAGGTTTTAACCATCAAATATACCTATCACACGACTTTCGTCAGTGGGTGGGTGTGAGTATAAAAAATGTTTGATCATCGATTCTTGACAAAATGTTCTCATTTCCCAAAATGTTCTAAATTTTTAGAACAAAATTATTTAATAGTAGTTTCAAACGACAAAGTCAAGAAATTTGTTTCTATGGCAACACGTTTGGAGATTCA